AATTCCATGCAAACACTACAAACTTTCAGGAAAAAAAAATGTGGTTTCAGATTCCATACATCCAGCCAGTAAATATACCATGACAGTAAGGAATGGGGCCATTGATAAAGAGGACAATTCTTGTTCCATTAGCCAACAATTGCTTTCAAGATGCATCCAGTAGTGTAAAGTAAACAAGATATGACATACAGTGTTGTGGAAAAAGTTGTCCACTCCTAATTCTTCAAATACCGAAGCTTTGTTAGTGATGTTGGCGTCAGACGCTGATGCACAGAGGCACCTTTCACGCAATATGATACTCACTGGATGTACATACCGGCACTTTGTCAGTGGACGTCAGCACCAGGCATAGTTGTACAGAGGCACCTTTCACAGTAGTATGATACGCACCACATGGCTGCAGTTTGTAATGACAAAATCTTAACTTTTGCTGCGGTCAGACTGGATCGTGTTTACCATGTTCACTAGCAGAGTCTTGTGGTATTCACGACTTCATAAGTGGAAATTTTAAGAGAGCTCAGAGTTCATGACTTTGTGTACACCACTTCCCATATTACAGGCATGAAAATGGGTCAGGGGTGAAAAAGGTGAGAAGGATACGAGACCCGGCACCTGCTAGAGGGTCCCGGGGTTATGATCCTTGATTGTTTTTTTGGTGGAAAAATGAGCTTCCAAATGCTCATATCTGATTTCTTTTAGATTTACTCTAGTGGTAGTCACATGCAGAATTACAAGATTGCACAAAAACAAAAGTATGAATGTATAATTAAGTGCAAATAAAGTATCTTTACATGTTCACATATGTTGTATAAGAGACAAGACCAGGGGCGCACTGGGACACAAATTTAGCCCAGGACATTCAGGCTCACCGGCCCACACACCGGCCCACATGTTTCTACCTATAATCCTCTATATTATGCTTGTACACACTACACAAACGCTGTCCTCAGAATCAACTGCATAAGAAAATCAGCAGTTATTGTTTAATCTCAGACTATTCACCTCATTTTTCACGGAAACACGGAGGCAAAACAGAACGCAGCCAGCTTCCATTTTTTTGTGCGACACTTCCGGTCCAGCAGTCTTGACCACTGTGTAAATGTCCCACGGTATTTGCTACAGCTACAGCACATGGAAATGTTTACATTACTGAAAGCAATTTTAAGGACTAACTTTGAAGTTAATCGTTAAAGAATAAATCACCTGGAAAGCTGGCGCTGCTCCACATAATTTAAAAGGTAACTTAGCCTACACAGAGCGGTGGAAATGTCCTTGCAGCTGCAGACCGGTGCGGCTGGATGATTGATGCGTAACATTACATGCTGATTCAGGTGCTATCAGAGCCGATCCGCGCATCACTATGGCTTAATAATCAACTCAGTCAATAAAAACAACCCGTCCTGTGTTAGGAGTGTATGTCACTGACAGAAAGAAAGAAAGAAAAAAAAAAGATAGAAAAGCAGCGTACACCTCACATATTTATTTCTCATAGTTGCGCACATGTTTGGCTGACATGCAGAAGCACCATCTGTGTGTCTGTGTGTCTGTGTGTTGAGGGTGCGAGCCACAGCTTCAGCTGCTCAGGTAGAGAGACTGTGTAGCCCGGTGTTTTTTCGCTGATTCGGTTCTGCAGGTTCTCTGCTGGTACACTGGAGACGGGGATCAAGCAGTTTGTCTCACTCGGGATAGATTGTGCTTTTTTGGTTCATAGTTTTTGATTGACGTGCGATTTATTCGCGTTTAGAAGGAATCATTTTTACCGGCAATTACCGGATAACGGAAACATGGGCACAGTTATTTATATAAATTACACAG